TTTTTTTTTGTAAAAAAGTAAACTAAATTTAATATAATTTTCTCATTAATTTTAAAATTTAAGAATAATTTTTTAACAAGCACCCGTGTAATACACGGGCATTGTACTAGTAAAAAATAGTACAAAACCGGAAGAAAAAACGTCATGAGACTCTGTTAGTCAAATAGTGCATCGAATATAATGATTTTAATAGTTTTAATTAATCAATATGCTTTTTGTATTTAATTTTATATGTAATAACATATATACATTCATCTTTTATGTATATAAATAGGTCCTTTATAACTAAGTACCTTATAGTAAAGGTAGACACGTGTAAAACAAATCACAATATTTACTTTAACGAGTCGCAGTTTAATCACGACTTTCAAACAAACGTGACGGAAAGTACACACATATTACACCACATAAATTCAAAAATAGCAAGAGACGATCGATAGTATTTAATAACACTTCAAGGAACCACAACAAGCTTTATATTCCGATGGTTATTGGCGCGAAGCTTGAAGATGAAAACCGAGCATATGATGATCATGAACAAAAGCCCCACGAACGAAGCCATCATGGCCAAACCAGCTTGGTCGCAAAACCTGTCGAATTTGTCACATATTTTGCTCCACCTGGCATGCGAATTTCCGTGCCTTCCCAGATGCCCCATGAAGGCTGCCGAGCTTGCCCCACCGAAGACAATAGCCACATTCATCTAAGACATTAGGAAAAACAATGCAATAATATAGACTTTGTGTATGGAATTATATTTAAAAAAAAAAAACTATTAAGAGTTTCTTAGAATCGAAAATGAATTTTCTGAGTTAGAAAAATTGGAGATTTAATAATGTAACTAGCACATCTGTAATTAACACATAATTGAGAAATAGTGTGGTGATCGTGTTGACTTTACAAATGTAACTGCAAAAAAGACTGCCTTTTGGTCATTCCACTGGCAAAAAAGACTGCCTTGTGATCGGTTGTTGATGCGGATATTAATTACTTTTCGTACACGTGGCAATCGACTAACATATCTAATTCAGTAGCTGATCAAGTTCACCGACTTTTGCCGGTGATTGACTAAAGGTCAAGCTTTTTTTTGCAGTTACTGAATGTTTTGTAAATCAACGCAACCACCACACAATATCTCAATCTGGTTACATGGCTAAATGTTGATATGGCTCATATATTGACAAAGGAAGGAGGCAGGCTGATGCTTGCGAGCGTAACGGAGCGAACGTAGCGATGGAAGCGGAGCGACCGAGCGAAGTGAGCGGAGTGGAGCGAGCAGGCATCAGCCCTTGTTGGGCTGGGTCGATTAGTTGGGCCGGGGGTGCGGGGGCGGAGCCCCCGCGGTACGGTACGGGGTATTTAAGTAAATTAATACATTGTAGAGTTATAGTATAAATACATGGTGTATTGATGTATTTGAGACTATTGAGAATAATAAAGATTCCTCAGCCGCCGTGGACGTAGGCATATTGCCGAACCACATAAATCTTGTGTTGTTTACTTTTCTCGTTTTTAATTCGTATGTCATATTGTCATCTTCACTCAACACTAAATCTTCAATTTCTCCTTTTTGAGTTCGTTCGCAGCGAATTAACCTGAATTTTTTAGTTCTGAATTGGTACGAAAATGAAGTATAATCATGTATTGTTATTATCACAATCATCGTACCAAATCCAAGACTGGAATCGCAAAGGAAGCAAGCCCCGTCAACCGGCACTTGTGCCCCACAAAACCGAACGCTAACATCAACAAGTTGTGGAGACTCGCGTTGCCATTAGCTATCACGAAAAAACTGCAGATATATCCACAATCACAACTATTATCCATCTACATTACATGTACATATGTAGGCATAAAAACGGAAACTTGGGCCAAAAGAAAGACATACACGAATGCAGGATTGTGTCGAAAATTGGCCGTGAGAGTGGCTTTTATGGGCCCGGTCCCGATTGTGGCCACGGTTATAGCTTTCGTTTGCTTGTCGAGGGCCATGACAAGCGTGGCCGAAAGAGTTGATAAGAACGCGAGCAGCCTCAGCAGCATAATGATCAAATCGACCCTAGAGCTTCTCCCCTGGACTTTGTGGTACTCATCGAAATCCGACTTTTCGACTCCTTCCGAAGCCATCATGTGACGGTTTGTGATGTACTGATGTAATATGTATGATAGTGTTAGTCGGGGCGATTTTTCTCTTATATATATAGAATGACAAACTAAATAGGCTGTGATCTCTTTTGGTTTGTCAGAGCAAATTAAATTTTGCTTCAGTTGTTGGGAATAGTACACATGACCGTTGAAAATAGGTACATACAGGTGATTCTTGGCAGGAAAAATGTCATTTATATAGGTACTGTATTAGGATATAAGTCTTCACCTCTTGAAGTAATTAAGATGAGTAGGTATGACTCATAAAACCAAGCATTATTAATACAGGATAAACTACAATAGACTACACAAATAAATCAAATGTTGATCAAGCATTTGCATTCCATATTCAAATCTGATACTCAATCCAAACAAGTGACATATGCACACATAAATAATTTTTATTGCTTCAAACCTCTTCATAGCTGAATTAGGATGTCATGATTCAATGCATTCCTTGACAAACGTTGCTAACCTGTGGTAAAAAAACAAACCATGTCTCAAACTTTCGCTTATCGCACAAAAACTTGCCAAAATTAATTACCGCCAAAAAGAAAATGAGGGAGAATTAACATTAAAATTTGCTAAGCTCACCAATATTCTTTCGTCAATACTCGTGAGATTTTGCACAACAACTGTGAGATGTTTCGTTCATGATTCGAGTATAGGTATTTCACTCTCCAATACATGTGCATCACTTTAGCAGTAAAAATATGCATGCTAAGATCATGTTTGACCATGCTTCTTCAAAATAAATTCACAACTCACTCAATTCAAATGTGTCTTTGTTTTCTAACCTTTATTGAAATAGTTTCCCACTCCCATTTCCCTCATTCGCGAGTCCTTCAACATCATACGAGTTGACAGTCAATTTAACTTAACTGCAAAAAGGTGAAAAGAAAACATGATGTAGTATCCCCATATAAAAAATTATAAAAGATCACAAAATCTTCTTGAAAAGCATAAACTCAATCCTCCATTGTTTGAATTTGAAAGAAATTGTGTAAGATCAATATTTTCATGTAGTCATAGAATAAAAAAGTATATTATAAATAACAAATGAGGAAGACAATGATTAAGTTGTCGAAAAGCAAACCATAGGAGCCTGTCGAAACTAAACCAACACCAAAGGGAGAAAAGGTTCGCAAATGAACAATCAATTCAACACGCATGCACTAATTTTAGGAAATTATTTATTCACTCAAATATTTTAACTATCAGTCATTTCATATTTCTTACTTTTACATCACATAGAATGAAATAATTGCATTTGAACTCATGCCGAGCAGAAACGAAAAATCCAGCTTAAATATTCACTCAATCAACTTTTTTTAATTTAACTCACGTTATCCTCAAAATCAAATGAATAAAATTTTAAAAAGTAGATAGTTTATTAAATTTATAAAAGTTCGCATAATGTTCGCTCATATTTTACAAAGCACAATTCATTTAAAGCTTATTATCTGATAATAAAAAATAAAGGAACTCAATTACACTGACTTAATAGAACAATACAGTTGAACTGTACCCAGTAGGCTATTCTCGATTGTTGAATCATAATCAACTGTTAGTTGCATAGCCAGATCATAAAAAAACTTGAAATAAAAAACACGCGTTCGTCGACCACAAAAAGCAACAGACCAACAGCATAATTTAACATATGCATCAAAATACATGAAACTTCAAATTACAAGAGAAACAGAACACTTATCACTGCGACACCAGGTCCCATTCAGAGGTCTTTGGTTCATTCTGCCTACAAAAAGCAAGTAATAAAAACAACAAAAACCCATATATAAATTTCAACATGATGCACGCAATCCAATTAATAATGAGTTGTAATGCCGCATCAAGAGTCTACTCTTAAAATCATCAAAATTTTCCCCGAGAAAAATATCAATACGGGTTGCAGACCAATAACAGATAAGCAATTCAACACGATCTCATATATGGAGCCATCATTAATGAAAACATAAGCACAGACACACGTGCATTCAAATGTAGAAGCAGGACGAGCCCATAGCAAAAGAGAAAGCATCTCATAGATAATGTGTATCTCCTAAGAATGAACATGCCAACCATGTTCTCTTGGACATCCACTCCCCCAATTATTTCATTGTAAAATCTTCTAATTCATAATGTCCACATAATCTTAATCATCATAGAATCACTATATCGACACGATCATCACTTATGAGTTATTACACATTCGGCACTCTCTGTTTGCAGTCACTTCTAATTTGCTAAACTGTTAATTAAAGAAGTGTGATACTTGTGCTCTCAGTTATCAGGAACCTCTTTTACAAACAAGTGCCATCTTTATTTGGAGTATTACTTTTTTCTTTATTTGTCTTTCCTTAAATGTGTCCCCATCTTCAATGTTAATCAGAGTTAAACTTACTCTTCTACAAAAGTTGGGAGTCCTACAATTATTCCTCTCCCCAGAGATTTTCCACTCCTAGAAACTTTCCCTCAAAATAATCCATCAAATGGCTAAAATATCATCCTCCTTAAAATAATCCAGCTGTATGTGAACCAACCATCATGATGAAGAAAACATAATAAACACACATGCATAACAAAGAGAAAAATAAAACCGCCAAAACAGATATACCTAATCAGCAAGGAAAGGCACTGCGCTCTCGATGTAAGGGATGAACAAGTTCTCAAAATAACCATTAAAAAGAAGCAAGTCAACCATTCGTCCCTTCGAGGAAGCACTTGTCTTTGGCTCAAATACTCAACGAATGCTCGACCCCACACGCATCAAAGCTCCAAGCTTCACTCCACATAGCCCGATCTCACACCCACACGTGAACCCTCTTTACATCTTCAACCAATGGGTAAGAGAAAGCGCCTAGTGAACCATCAACCTCTACAAGACCCAAATATTCCGTCTCAACGGGGCGAGCAGTGACGGGCATGGGTAACAAGTTAAATGCTTCAGCCTCAAAGTTGAAGCACATGATGTCGTCGTCAACTCTGCTACCGCAACTGACCCAGTAGTGACACCCCTTGAGACCAACTGAGCGATAAAAAATACTCGGAATCACCATTTTAGGAGGGCTCAAGGGCCTCCACGCATCTTCCTTCAAAGAAAAGAGCGCAAATAGCCTAGTTGTATACACAATATTGCCTTCCTCATCTTTGTTCATAAATAGAACTGTTCTTACAACCTTAAAATCCCTGTAGGATCACGCCCGATAGCAGGAGACTC